ATATATGTGTATATTTGATTATATGTAATGTTATATTATTTTGTGTGATAACATGGTATGATATGTTCATGCATGGTTAAGTAGTTAGAGTTACCTTTATACGTTAATGCCTCACTAAGTCATCTACTTAGCATGTGAATGTTTCACACGTAGGTTTGAAAAGCGAGAAGAGAAGTAAAGAGGAGCAAGACAGGTCAACATCTTCCTTATGAATAACATATCAGAAACATATTAAATATATGTATTTTGTTTTATAGAATTTAGTTGACATGTAGTTACAAGATTTAAATTGAATATGCTCTGATCGGTTTGTAAAACAATTTGATTGTATTTATTAGTGTAAAGTATTCATTTTCTCAAATGATGAATTTAAGTTTTTGGTGGATTTGTAAAGATCAGAGTTTTGAAAAGTCAATATGACACCTCAGACTCGGATCCAGTTCAGATATGGGTTGGGGTGTTACATTAATGGTATCAGAGCTAAGGTTTTGCCGATTCTAGGCTTAAACCGAAGTCAAATGAGTTTTTAAAAATGTGTACATGCCAACTCAAAGTAAAAATTTATGATCTGATAGTGTAAGGAGTGTACTGTCTTGTTAATAGAATTATATTATTACGTTATAATATAAATATGATAGTGTGAGTTTTGAAAGAAGTGAGAGGTGATATTCCTGATTGTGATAGCAATTCACCTGTCCTAGTCAGGTAGGGTGAAGAGTGGACACCTCAGGAAGTGTCTCGTAAGATCAAAGGTGGATTTTAAAAAAGTTATAATCATGTTAGGATAGTGATAGAAGGTTTTCACAGTTTTGAATCGGAAAAGTAATGTGAAGTATTCTTATTATTTCGTGGATAAGATAGAATATGGTGGACAAGTGTCACCATAAGAAAGTTAAAAGATCTAATGATGTGGTTAGAATTTGTAGAAGAGTTCAAGAATAAGTGCATCAATGACAAGAGTATAAGATATATAAAGCTAGAGCTTATGAGTTTCAAACAAAGTGACAATATTGGGTATAAACAAGAGTGTGAATATGATAAGGGTTTGTATTTTAGATGGAAAGAGTTAGAGTTGGCTAACAAGATTATGTGATGAAAATGTATTGGAGTTATAAGATTTTAAGATATTGTTAGGACAAGTTAACCAGATATGAAATGGATATGAATATAGTCGTGTATCTTAATTATGTAAATGTGATGTAGTGAAAGAGACAAGGATTCGTATGTTTAAGGGAAGTTACAGAATAATAGAAAAGTTTAAGAATGGGTATATCAGTGATCAGTTAATAAGATAAAAAAGTTATAACGTTTAAGTTTGGAACAAGGGAGTAGTACTGTATATGAGTAAGAGTACGAGTTTGAAAAGTTGAGTAAGATATCGCTGAGGAAAATTTTGATGGAAAAAGAATGTATATGATCGGCTTGAGGAAATTGGATATAATTATGTATCATGGTTATGTAGATATGATGTAGTTAAAGAGAAGAGGAATTATATGCTTAAAGGGAGCCTTAAGGAAGTAGAACAATTATTCTAAGGGATTGAGTGATTATTCAGATTTGATACTTGATTAATTAAGTGAAGGAAATACAAGTACAAGAGATGGTAAAGAATGATGTTCTGTATAAGTGAAGTTGAATATTAAAGTTATGAAGAGGTGATAAAGATCTGTAATCAGAGATGAGTATAAGTGATAGGAAAAGAGTATGTGAGCATGAAAGAAAAGATATGATTTGTGTATAAGGAGATTTTGATTTTGAATGAATAAAGGAATAATGGAATAAGGAAATGAAATGATGAAGTTTAAAAGATTAGATACGATATAGGTTATATGGTAGAGTAGATGATATGTTTGATATAGAAGTAAGAAAAGTGTGCAAGGTGATATGAAAAGATTGTTTGATTCCGTAAAGTATATGTTTAATCACATTTGAAGAAGATTTAAGGTTGTGTTCTGGGTTAAATGGTGATGAAATAAGAGTTTGGTTATTGTGGTAAGGTAATTAGAGATTAATAATGAATCAATTGATTCATGATTCTTAATGGAAAGGATTGAGTTTATTGGTTACTGTTTATATGATAAGTGACTTAGTATGTATATTGAAAGGAAAAAGGTAAGTTGATGATGGATAAACAGGAAAGATCGAGTAATAGAAACAACATGAGAACATTAAAAGATATGTGTAAGTTGTGTTCTCATCAATATATGTGGTGAAAATTCGAGGACGAATTTTCTTAAAAGGAGGGGAGATTTGTAACATCCCAAAAATCGGATTAGTGACTAAAATGGAAGTTTTTGGAATTTTATGATCAAATTGGGAAAAATTGAAAAGTATAGGGACTTAATTATAATTTTTTGGCTTGGATTGATTAGTAAAGATGGAAATAAAGAAGGGTAAAATGGTCATTTAGCAAGAAAGATTTTTATCTTTTCTTTATGGGCTATAAATCATGTGGGATAAGGGAGGAAATGAAATAGAAAATTCTGGAAACTCTGGTTCAACCTTCCTCTTCTCCTCATCTCGTGGCTCTATTGATAAGGTAAGTTGGTTAAATCTCTCATTTTAAAGTTGGTTTTGATTCTTGGGGTGATAGAAAAGCTTAAGGAAGACTTAAGTTAGCTTTAAAACAAAGAATGAAAGAGTTATGAGAGATTAAAGATTTGAAGTTTTTGAATGAAAACTTAGAATAAGGTTGATAAATAGACTTGGAAGTTAAATTTGACTTTTCAATGGTTAAATTAAAAGATATGAAGTGTTAGAAGTGGATTTAGAATATGTTACAAATTTGGTGTAATTCTTGAATTACATATGGAAGATAGGATTTTAGGGTTAAAGATGTGATTAATGAGTAGAAATGAGTTTAAGTATGTGTATTTGAGTTTAGTATATGAAAGGGGATGGAACATGAAGTATTGAAGTTGAAAAGAATGAATTTTCGTGCTTAAAATTAATTTCTAGGTAAGGGTATATCGGTACCCATTCAATAGGTACCGATACACTTTAAGAGTAAAATCTGGAAAATGTTCAAAGTATACCGATACATAGGAAGTGTATCAATACACCCCTTCTAACGAAAAATATCGAATTTAATTTGTGTATCGATACATAGGTAGTGTATCGATACACACGTCAAGGAATGTATCGATACACTATAGTGTGTATCGATACACTATAGTGTGTATCGATACATTTCAAAAGGGAAAAATGGAATTAGATCTTTTAGTTTAAGAAATCAAGGATCGAATCATAGTATTTAGAATGCTAATATGTATACATGATTGTGTAGATATCGATCGAGGGCAAAGTCTGGACAAGTTGCAAGTTATAGCCATCGAGAAGAGATAAGGGTTCGTTATTGACTAGTGGGGCCAGATGAGAGCATCTTATTTTGATATAGGATTATATGGAAATTTGACTTGCGGTAAGTCTATTTCCTATAATTATAGTGCATGAAGTCATAAATATAAGCATGTGAATGATATAAATTGTATGTATGCATGATTATATGTGTTGAGATGTTTTTGTATGTGTTATATGATTTATGTGAATATACGATGATGTGATAATATTAGAATATAATATAAGATATGTAATTATATGATCATAAGATATAAGTCAAGTGACAAGGTACATGTGATACATGAAAATGAGATATTATATGACTATGTGATTATGTGAAAAAAAATACAAGCTTATGTGATAAGCTATGTGATATGTGAACATGAATCATATGAAAATGTTCTACGAGTAAGTGAACTACGTGCCTATTTATAATGATAAATAATAATGCCCATGTTATATGTCATGAGGGCTAGAGGTATAGTTGGCATGCCAAGATTCGAGGGTTCTATGTGGTCCTTCGGGACATTTCATAGTGGTCCTTCGGGACCAATTCATATATCCCTAGTGGGACCCCATACGAGCTGTGGTGATAGCATAGTGCACAACCTCAATAGACTCACATATCTACAGTTCTCACATATGTACATGGGCTAACAAAGATATAATAACAAACATATTATATAGGATGTATATGCTTTTGGTGAAATAAATTGTATTGTATGATTTAAATGATGATATGTGTATTGCGTGGTTAAATGAGTCATGTTGGTTAAAAACGTTAGGTACAAAAAGGATATGATTATAGGATATAAATGATAATCATATTGATAGTGAAATAAGGTTAATGATGGAAATGATGAATAATGGGTATATGTGTATATTTGATTATATGTAATGTTATATTGTTTTGTGGGATAGCATGATATGATATGTTCATGCATGGTTAAGTAGTTAGAGTTACCTTTATACGTTAAAACCTCACTAAGTCATCGACTTAGCGTGTGAATGTTTCACACGTAGGTTTGGAAAGCGAGAAGAGAAGTAAAGAGGAGCAAGACAGTTCAGCATCTTCCTTACGAATAACAGATCAGAAACATATTAAATATATGTATTTTGTTTTATAGAATTTAATTGGCATATAGTTACAAGATTTAAATTGAATATGCTCTGATCGGTTTGTAAAACAATTTGATTGTATTTATTAGTGTAAAGTATTCATTTTCTCAAATGATGAATTTAAGTTTTTGGTGGATTTGTAAAGAACAAAGTTTTGAAAAGTCAATGTGACACTTAGGACTCGGATCCAGGTCGGATACGGGTTGGGAGGCGTTACACTGAGCTTGATAATTTTTAGATCGCGAGTTTTCGAGTTGAGTCGAGCCTAATTTTAAACTTTTCGAGCTCGAGTTGAGCTCATCAATACTCGAGCTCGACTCAGCTCATTTACATCCAAGCGTAGACTATATATAATAATAATAATATCATTTTGCATCCTAACACTACATATCCTTGTCACTTAAAATAATAAACTATATTTGATAATTGATTCTATATTTCCTCTTCAAAGGACGATTATTTTTATTTTGATTTATTAAATCTATTTTTCAATTTAAAAAAAATAAGAAATATATATTGTTTTAACATTTTTGAAAATAAACCAAGCCTTGTTTTTCATTTTTTATAAAAAAATTATAATTATATTGAATTCCTAAATCGTATATAAAATAGGAAAGTATGCTTCATTAAAAGCTATGGTAAGGGATACCATATTGACATAAATCTTACAGGCAATACCCAATAATCAATGAACAATATTGCATGTTCATATGACTTTCATGAACTATTACTGCCCCTCCGGCTGCAGACTTTATTATCGGGTGTTTATATAAGTATCAATTATATTTGAAATCGAATTGAATTATTTTTTCTTGAGACTTGGTAGGAGGTAGGGTTGCGATTCTTTGGTATCATAAGACCTCTCTACAAAGGCATTAAAGCCAAGTTCCTCATCTTGGATTCTCCCCTTTATATCTCACTAAAATCACCACAAATTTATTGGAAACATGAGCACTTAACCTCTGCAAATGAAGCAGGACACGTTCTTTTGCAGGCTTTTATCGAAGGAAGGGAACCCTTCTTTCAGAGTCTACTATGGTGGAGTCTCCGGCTTTATTCCTTTCACGTGGGAATCTCAGCCCGGCACGCCCAAATCCACTTCATCTTCAATTCCCTCTCTTACCCCTCCTCCTTCATACTACTCCAACTCCAACCCCAAACCCATCAAGAAACAATCGAGATACGGTCTTCTTCAATCATTGCTTAGGAAAATGATGAGTTCCAATACCAAGGAGAATACTGTTGTGCCTTGGTCGCCTTCTTCTTTGTCTTTGAGTTCCTGGAGGTTTAGGAAGAGGAGTCTGTTCTCGAAACCCGAGTTCGTCGTTTGATTCGAGAGCAGACGGTGAAGGAACCACAAACGTCGGATCATTCGGTAAGTGCCGTGGGTGCTACTGCTGGGGATACTATTAACATATAGGCCTTAAATTAAGTGTCAGCTTGTGTTTAATCTCTTACGTTAAATAATGCAATGTTTAGTGAAATGTATTCTTATGTTGAGTATGTGGTATCTGTTTGAATTAAAATTTGATAAGTGTTTTAAATAGTCCAATTCATAGTGTTGTCGATTAAACCGTACATCTCATTCTTCTTGTAATTCTTATGATTTTTGCGTATATTTAATAATTTCAAGAAATATGGATACAGGTTCCTATCATGATTTTTGGAATCTCCCCTAACTAACTATACAAATGTTGTCCCAAATTAAAGAGAGAAACCTCATATATTGGTTTATAATATAGTTTTATGTAGGCACAAAACTTTCAATATTTTTTTCAGTCAGTTTATAATCTGTAAAATAAGTTGCATGTGTCGTTATGAAGGTGTCTATGATTCATGATGAAAACTATAAACAACCATAAAATAAATTGTAAATAAGCATGTGTAAAACATATCCTAAGTTGAAATAGCATTCATTAACCACATTTATAGAAGCGCTGGGGAACTTGTTCGTTGATGAAATACACGGTTGTCGGCAGTTAATGACCTGGGCTTGTCCACAGCAGACCCATCCCTGTGAGTTGAGAGAGGATGGGCTATTTTTCTTTTGTTTTAAAATCAAATAGCTATTTATTATGGCTACTTTCATATCATCAATGTTGTCTGTAAGGAAATTAGTTTTAGCACCAAGGGATGTTGTGCTCACTCAAACTCTACGTTACTCGGACCCGAAGGTGAATATTAATAGAAATACTTTTCGATAATATTATGCTCCAGTTTTTCTCTCATTTAAAAGATCATATTAAAGAGGTACTGGATGCTGGAATTTTAAAACGAAAATATTATATATCTATATATTACTATTAGTATATAAATTGAACAAGATTTAACATGGTAAAACTTACAATTATTAAGATACAAGATACTGTTACACTGTGAATCTGCAACTGATGAAGAGAAGCGATCATATATCCGTATCCAAAACTCGGTAATCCGCTGTGTCTTGTCTGCTAGACCCCGAATTTTAGCGCTTGCGAAAAACAGGGAAAATCCTAGTCCTCCTGCTGTCTATTTTCATCCCATTTCCTTATAGCCTGCATCATTGCTTGCTTCACCATTTGAGCATCGATGCCTTCCGCATTACCTTCATTCTGGACACACTTATAATAATATATCCCAGCAATAATGCATTATCGTTGCACAAAAATTCAACATAAAAAATATAAACGGGTCGAATTCAGAATCTACTGTCTATCGAGACTTTAACTCCATTTTCATCTTCAATTGCAAAGAAATCATATTCCGTTATTGCAACAACTAATCAACAACCAATAGAGTAGGGTTCATATATAGATAGATAGACTTACTTCTCCTCCAATGGCTTCTAGTTTGAAAGTTTCTTCACAAGAAACCCTAGCTTCGAGCACGTCAAGGCCGAGCTCTTCGAAGGTTTCCAATACAGAAACAAGCAAACCAGGGCAATTCTTTTCTAACAGCACATTAATAAGGAAACCCTTGTCTAGGGTTTCCACTGTAACCTAATGGATAATAAGAAAGCTGCAATCAGTAAACTCAACCTTATTGTATACAAGGATCCCAAGCTGGTTAAAAACACTGAGAGGAATAGAAACTTTTCAGAAATCAACAAACAAAACACAAATATTAATATTTACCATCGGCATAGGAGTCTGGGAAGTCGAAGCTGGTGAAGTGGTTCTAGTTTCTTGGCTCAGTTTATCCACTTTATCTTTCAACTCACCGATATATCTCGTAGCATCTACGATGATTGAGGTCTTGTTTACCTGAAAAAGAAAACCAATGAATCATGCAATCGACAAGGGTTTTCTCTAAGCATTCTATATACGAAATTTTTGCTAGGCTAGCTTTCTTTCTCGTTTCTGGATTTCATCTCGTGGTTCCATTGTTATAAGCTATAACACGAAAAGAAACAAAAAGGCTTCCATGGTTAAGGATTTAATGAGTTGTTGGGGGTGGCTAATATTTACAGCAGTAGAGTTGGTGACGGAACAAAGCTGTTGGAGTTTTTGATGAACAGATGATTTCTTTCGACCTCTAGAAGACATGATGATGAAGATGATTCAGCGTGTAAGTTGATTTAGAATATTGTCGAAAATATTTGGCTTTTTGTTTTTCCACTCACTGGGATTAATCTTGAAAGGGTATATTTAAAGGAGCAGTTTTCATTCATCAATAATATACCTACACAGTATTGTTGTTTGTTTCCTGCATGAGAGGACCTCCTTTCCCCACTTGAAATTATTGTTATTATTGTTATTATTATTATTATTATTATTCATTTTTCTTGAATTTACGAATTTGGCCTCGTTAGTTTACAAATTTTTTCGAAACATCAAAATGTACGTTAGGATAAAATAGGATTATACAAAAATAAGTTTAAAAATTTAGTCAAATAACTCCAAAAATATAATAGATAAAAATAAATATTATTATCAATGATTAGAGTAAATATCATAAATATTAACATAAAAAAGTGCTTATAATTAGAATGACACTTGATTAATTGATTTTATCACAACTCAATTATTATATATCATTGATTATTATGAATGCTTATCAATAAATGAGAATTAACTTGAAAATCTAAAGCAGCGATAGATAAAAAGATAAATTTAAAAAAAGGTCAACCAGAGAAAGATAATGATAGATTTAATTATGAACAAGAACATGTTAAAGGTTAAAGACGATCAAAGCTCAAAAAAAATTACCAGCAATCATTTGGTCTAGTGAGATTTGTTACGGAAGACGGCTATCAGATAGAGCAAAAATGTAACTGATAATTTGAGAAAATAAAAATTGAAGATAAAAGAGACACAAAATTTACGTGGAAAACCCCTAAATAATATAGGGTAAAAACCACGGACAACGGTAGAAGAATTTCAATATGAGAAAAATAGGAATTACAACCTCTCTCGATCTACCAAGGAGAAAACAATGATAATTCTCTCTTAATAAAAAGGAGAAAACAACTCTCAAGAAATTCTCTAAATTCTCTCTAGTATTGGAAGAAAGCTAAAATGCTTTGGGATAGTTTTGAAGCTAAATAAGGTAGGGTATTTATAGTTGAAGCTTAAGGACTAATTTGTAAATACCCTAAATTACAATGAAAAAATTATAATTACCCCTTTAGCAAAATTTCAACAAAAATGGGTGGAAAGTTATTTTCAACTTTCGGTGCATTAATTACACCTTTCGGTGCACCTATAATTGTTTTGACTTTCTACAATCTCTCACTTGAAGATTTGATTGGAACAATCATATCTTCACACCATTCTTTCTACCTTTTACCTTCATGTTGCTTACGTCTCTGACAGCCCACAAGAGGATCGACACCAAGTAAATTTATCGGCATTGATCGCCTTTGTCATGAAATCTGCTATGTTCTCTTTGGTATGGATCTTCTGTATATCTACCGTCCCTTCTTCCACCTTTTCACGAATGAAATGGTACTGAACTCGTTTTTGCTTTGTCCTTGAATGAAATGTTGGATTCCTTGCTAGATGCAAGGCGCTTTGACTGTCACAAAACAGAGAGACATACTCTTGATTGTGCCCAAGCTCCTCCAATAGCATCTTTAACCAAATTAATTCTTTACTGGCTTGTGTAGCTGCTACATATTCTGCCTATGTTGTGGATGTAGCCACAACTGACTGCAATTTTGACACCCTACTTACAGCTCCACCAACAACTTTGAACACATATCCTGTAGTAGATTTGCTTTTATCCAAATCCCCTACATAGTCAGAATCGACATACCCATTTATAAGTAAGTTTGATCCTCCGTAATATAATGCAATATTTGAGGTCCCTTTGATGTATCTCAGGATCCTCTTTACTGTATTCCAATGCTCTTTGCCTGGATTCGCCATGTACCGACTAACCACTCCCATTGCTGATGCAATGTCTGGTCTTGTGCATATCATAGCGAACATTAAACTTCCCACTGCTGATGCATACGATACTCGAGACATCTCCATCCTCTCTTCTTCATTGCTAGGACTCATATTGGAGGATAATTTGAAGTTAATAGGAAGAGGGGTAGAAATTGGCTTACAATCTTGCATGCTGAATCGTGACAAGATCTTCTTCAAGTAATTCTTTTGTGAAAGCCAAATCTTCCTATTACTTCTGTCTCGGTGAATTTGCATCCCTAGAATCTTGTTTGCTGATCCCAAGTCCTTCATTTCAAATTCCCTAGCCAGTTGTGCCTTCAATTCTTCAATATGATCTTTGTTGGGTCATGCAACCAACATGTCATCCACATACAATAGCAATATAATAAAATCGTTATCACCAGACCTCTTGAAATAAGAACAAGGGTCTGCATTAAGTCTGTTGTATCCAAGGCACATAATGAAGGAATCAAATATCTTATACCAACACCTCGGCGTCTGCTTTAGACCGTACAGAGATTTATTCAACCTGCAAACCAAGTTCTTCTTTTCTTTTACTTCAAAACCTTCAGGCTGGAGCATGTAAATCTATTCTTCAAGATTTCCATGAAGAAAAGCTGTTTTAACATCTAGCTGCTCTAGATGTAAGTTCAATGTAGCACACATTGCCAAAACTACTCGAACTGTTGTTAGTCGAACCACAGGAGAAAATATTTCATTGAAATCAATACATTCTTTTTGAGCATATGCTTTGACCACCAGTCTTACACGATACCTCTCAACTTGATCGTCACCATTTCGCTTGATTTTGAAGACCCATTTGTTACCAATTGGCTTCCTTCCTTGTGGTAGTGGCACAAGGTCCCATGTATTATTTTTATGAAGGGCTTCGATTTCTTCTTGCATCACCATCATCCACAGTGAAGCATCTGAGCTGTTTATTGCCTCCTGGTATGTTGATGGCTCACCGTCCTCTGTTAAAAGGCAGTATGCAATATTACTTTCTGTAACATAATCTGAGTTCCAATTGGGACGTCTTCTCACACGATCTGATTGACGAGTTGTTGGAGCTTCAGAACTCTCTGGTTCTTGTTCATCATGTGCTGGTTCTGCTTCAGAATAATCTCCTTGTTCAACCTCCTTTTCCATATGTATCTGTGTAGTGTCTGACTTTTCAGCGCTATCATCATCTTCTTTTCTTTGTAGTTTATCTTCTACAAAGATAACATCCCTGCTGATGATCACTTTGTGGGCAGTGGGATCCCACAAACGATACCCCTTTACACCATCAGCATACCCCAAGAATTTACATTTTCTGGATTTGTGATCTAGCTTTGAAATTTCTTGGGAGTTGTACATCACGTACACAATACTTCCAAATACATGGAGGTTTGAATAATCAGTTGGTTTACCAGTCCACATCTCTATTGGTGTCTTCAGCTCTATTACAGTTGATGGAGCTCGATTCACCAAATAACAAGCGGTATTGACTGCTTCTACCCAGAATGATTTTTCTAGGCCTGCATCCCTCAACATTGCTCTTGTTCTTTCTAACAATGTTCTGTTCATCCGCTCTGCCACTCCATTTTGTTGAGGAGTGTTCGCCACTGTGAACTGTCTTTTGATGCCTTCTTTCCTGCAAAAGTCATCAAATTCTTCGCTTGTGTATTCTCCTCCATTATCTGTTCTGAAACACTTGATCTTATTTCCAGAATCAAGTTCCACCCGCGCTTTGAAGTTTTTGAAAGTTGAAAACACATCTGACTTCTTCTTAATAGGGTACACCCAGCATCTCCTAGAGTAGTCATCAATAAATGAGACAAAGTATTTTGCTCCGCCTAGGGATGTAACCGGTGCTTGACACACATCAAAGTGAACCAATTCTTGAACACTTTTGCCTCTAGAATTTGACGTGTTGAATTTCAACCGGTGCTGCTTACTTTTTATGCAATGCTCACACAAGGTAAGTGATACCTTTGTTAAGCCTGAAAGTAGGTTTTGCTCCACAAGGACTTTCATTCCTTGTTCTGACATGTGTCCAAGTTTCTAATGCCATAGCATTGCAGAATTTGAACTACATGAGGCAACAAAGGCTTCTGCTTCTAGCAAAGTTTATCCCTTCAGCATGTACAAGTTTGCAGCTATCTTTTCGCCTTTCAGCACCACAAGCGCTCCACGAAACACCTTCATGATTCCTTTTCATGTTTCAATCTTGCTTGCATTATTATCCAACAATCCGTAAGATAATAAATTTTTCTTCAGGCCTTTCACATGCCGCACATCTTGAACAACTTTAATTGTTCCATCATACATCTTCAATTTGATGGTTCTCACGCCAATGATCTCTAAGGCATGATCATTGTAACTATACACAGATCCTCCTAAGATAGGTTCATACTGATGGAACCATTCTCTTCTTGAGGTCATGTGATATGTTGCTCCTGAATCAATGAGCCATATATCTGCAAATCTTTTTTTGCCTTCCACTGTAGTTGACGCTTCACAGCATAGAGCATCTCCATCATCTGAAGTGTTTGCGGTATTGCCTTGTGGATTGGAGTTTTTATTTAGACTCCAACAATCCTTCTTCAAGGGACCCTTCTTTCCACAGTTGTAGCACTTTAAATTATTCTTGCTTCTCGACTTCGATCTACCATGTTTGTGACTGCTGCTTTGGCCACGTTCTGTTAATCTCCCTCTCATCATTGGCATCGTTGTTAACGCTTCTGCTTGTTGCAGATTTACTTGTCTGTCTTCTTTGTTCTTGTGCCAATTTTATTCTTTTAGAACAACAGCTGCAACGTCATCGAAGACTAGATTGGTGACATTACTGTTTTTCAAGTTGATGATGAGTTGATCATACGAATCAAGTAGACTTTGAAGTAGAAGTTCAACACGTTCTTGTTCTCCTATTTTACAGCTTAAGGATGTAAGCTGAGAAAATAAAGTGTTCAGTGTATTTAAGTGCTCCGTCACTGAAGTAGATTCTGGCATACGGAGAGTGTACAATTTTCCCTTAAGGAAAATTTTATTGTGCAGCGATGTGGCCTCGTACAATTTGGTGAGATGATCCCATATCTCCTTAGCTGTCTTCTTCTCCTTGATGCTTGACAATACTTCATCTGCTAATGCTAGATGAAAGTTTACCATAGCATTCCCGTCCATTTCGATCCATTTGTTGTCATCTGTGAAATCCACCGGCCTTTCACTGATAGC